AAAAAAAAAAAAAAAAAAAGAAAATATGTCTGAAAGAGAGAAACCGCGGTATTTTAATAACGACCGACTAACTGCGCGAACTCTCTGTGGAAACAGAAGTTATGAAAATGGTGAACGGTGGAAAATAGCAGGGAGGAAACACACTCGAGCAATTAAATTGTTGCGCGTGGAACAGTTTCCGTTTAAAACGGCGCGCGCCGTTTTTTTTGTTCCAGATGTCAAGAGTGCCCCGTGGTTAAGCCGACGTTCCTTTGCGGAAGCGATAATCGCACGTACAGCTCCCCATGCCGGCTGGAATACCACAATTGCATCCACCACACGTCGGTCCGCATCGCCTGCAAAGGATTCTGCCCCTGCAAAGGTGAGGATCCCCTCCGTGGAATCGTTTTTCCAAACGGAAATCGGCGCCGAGGAATATGACATAAAATTCGAAAATTGTTCTTTGGATGAAAATTAATTTGGATGGAAACGAGTAGAGGTATAATCGACGATTTTTTATGGATACAGGGAAATTATTTAATATTGGTTTTTTTTGGAAGAATTTCAGAGATATTTCGTTTTTGGAATAGTTAGAAGAATATTAAAATGTTTAAGTTTCCAATAAAATTTTTTACCATCACGAATTTGGAAAGTGGGAGAAAAGTAGAATGAACAAATATAATCAATATATAGTAGAAGATCAATAAGATTTGAATCGAAGGAAAGCTTTGCATGTTGCACCCTTTGTATTTTAAAAAAGAAATGTTAAATCGATTCGAAATTTTAAGAGATATAAAAATCATATGGGGTCATGAGCACAAGGAACCTTTCAAGATAATGCAAGAAGATTAAATCAAATTTCCCTGGATTGTAGAGTTGAAGAATTTTACAGTTCTTTCAGCCTTGAAGGAACTCGCGTGCAATTTATCCGCGGCACCCTTTCTTCGCGTGCAAACCAAGTATTCAGGTCAACTTCGCGTAGAAGCTGTTTAAAATACTCGAGATATCAGGAACATATTTGAAGTTTTTTCGCCGATTTCATTCACTTCCTAATTACTTCTTTTTTCCAATCGTCCAAATTAACCCCTTTTTAATATCGAACTCGCACAGGTTGAATCCATGGATCAAACTTCATTAGAAATCTCGTACTCGTAATAAAAATTTTATATTCGCAATCTCAAACGAATGTTACAGGCCAATATTTATCGATGAATATTTTTGTTGAAAAATTTTATTTTTGTTGAAAAAAGATGAAGATATAAATTATTCTAAATTATTCTTGGGAAAAATAAAAATTGATAAAAATCTTCTCTTTTCGAGTTTACTCACGACGTAACGTAAAGTAGTTAAGTTATTCATTATTTTCGAATCGTTACTTCTCGTTTTTATCTCTCATAAAACATAAGAGATTGATATAATTTTCATTAACAAGAAACGAACTTTTGTCCATCATGTGTAAGAAAAAGAAGACACCCACAACCCTGAATATAGGGCAAGCAAACTCGATTTATTATCCGGGAAGCTGGTTTGATTTATCGCAGACAGGTTTTGAGAGGCGAATTAATGGTTCTAGGATTCTACTTCGAGGCGTATCAGCGTTCAGACTCGATGTCGATATCGAAACAAAAAAAAAAGAAAGAAAGAAAAAATATTCTGATCAATTTTCCACAACGAGTTTTCACGAGTCTGCAACGATTTTATATACGATATATTTTCTCTTCTTTTAATTCTATAACTATTTTATTAATATCGTAATATTATTCTTCAATTCAAACATCTTGAAAAATACGAAGCATGAATTAAGAATATTTTAATTATTTTAATCATTTCGTAATCTCGAATTCGCTTGGACGTTTTCTAATTTTACATGTGAAATTAATTCGTTAGTTTATTCATAGGCAGCCACACATAGACGGTTTAACAGTGGGACTCTCTGTTTGCGTCCCTCTTTCTGCTACCAGGGACAAACATCCACCATGAATATTCATAATTGCTTGTTAGAACAATAATGTCAGTGTTAAAGCGTACGAGGCTGAATTATCTCGTGGATTCGTCGAAAGAATCTAGATCTAAGAAAATACAATTAACTTAACAAGAATCTTTTTTTTTATTTTTTTTTTTTTTTAGGAATTCTAAATTATATTATTCACATTTGAGTTGTAATTCATTTCAATAAAGATTAATTTAAATTGATAGTAGCGATATTAAATTTTAAAAGAAAAATCAAAAGAATGATTAATGTCATAAAATAAAATAAAGATACGCGTGTATTAAATTTTATAACATGGACTTGGTAATAAAACGTAATCTAATAAAATTCTTGAATTACAATTTAGAGAATAATTCAAATTTTGTTGAAAATACAAACATAAAGGAATAATTAATGAAGCAATAAAGACACGCATTGAAGTTTCGTGCAAGAAAAATAATATAATTAATAATAAAATTCTCTATTATCGAGCGATAAACGATTATCAGAAACTGTAAAATCCATCGATCAACAATAATAATACAGTTTTAAAATAATGGAGGGAAAAGAAGTCATGTATATTTCAACGAAATAATAAATTATCTCGTATTATTGAGAAAATCCAAATTTATGATTCGGTATTTGAAAACCTGAAGTCAAAATATCTATCAACGTCAATCCAAAATTACAAAACGTGATACAAGTTTGACGACACGTATTTGCAAAATATTCACGATCAAATGGAGTTTGATACGTTGTTTGAAAGGATCGACAAACGGAATATTTGCAAAGGTAGGATATTCTCGAACGTTATGCAATAATAATGAATCGAGTAATTTTTATTTCTCCCCTTTTTTTTTCTCCCCCTCCCCCCAATTTTCAAACGAAAAACACAATTTGTAGTTAAGCTTGGAACAAACAAACGCAGGTGGACTAATAAAGCCACCGTGAACGGGGCATAAAATATTCGGAAACAGGCGTGTAAACGTCGACAATCGAGTTTTATCGCGTTTGCAACGTCGTCGCGTTTGTTTAAAAATCATCGAAAAGCTTGTCGCCGCGTGTGTCGAATGCAAATGCTCATTTATTTACACGCGATTAATGAGTTTTCGTTTGGTCGTCCGAATTTCCTCGACATCCCCCTCTAAATTTTCAACGATTTTCGCATAGTTACATTCTCTCTATCGATCTCTCTTTCGATAATATTGAATAATTTCTTTCGCAACGTAGGAGGCTAGAGAATATATATTTTTCGTTAAAAAAAATAATTAAAAGCAATAGTAATAAATTATTATTTTGTTGAAACACAAATCTCCATGAGAAACTATTATTTTTTGAATTGACAAGAGAGATTGGAAATTTGTTTACTTCTAATTTATTACATCCTGTGGAACGATGTATTGATTAAAAATCGATTTTTTTTTCCAGCTTCTGATCTTCGTGCCCACAACAAGAAGATGCAACTGCAACGACAGAAGTCTCTTTCCGGCAAGATGCGAAATCGTGACATAACGTTGACACCACACGTTTTCAACTATGACAATCATCATTACCAATACTTGAAATATTCCAAACGTGCCAAGGTAAGTCCAATCTTCCACACACATAATTTCTAAACTTAGAGTAGTTTTTATATATTTTTCTTCATTTTAAAAATTGAATTAATTTATACACGCATTTAACACAAAATTTCTAATAATCCTCTAACAAGGAATAAATAAATAATAGCTCTTACAACAGCCGAATAACCCCGTCTCGTAATACCCTTAATAATTCCCTAACGGAGCATGTATTATCCATCGAACAACGATAGATCACCGAGAACTTGCACACTTTACTCTTCAATATCTAACATCTCGCCAACTATATAATAATCGTGGCTCGCGATCAAAGTTTCCCAACTAGGAGCGTAGGAGCAACAAATTTTAATTACAAGATTGGTGGTTACACCGGGGATCGAGCGGACATTTTCATCCCCGGTGTAATAACCTCGATAATGCCTCGCGCGTTAATCTAATAAGCTAATAAACAGGTGGGTAGGCCGCGTGTTTCCGGATATCGTTTCTGCGCCGTGGTTGTCGGTCACGGGCCGGGGTGATTAGTCAATTAAACGGAAATTATGACGTGTATAATCGTCGAGGAGGGGCATGTTGCCGAAGGAGGTGGCTCGCGTATAAACAGGGAGCGGGGGCCGGATAAAACCGCGAGAACAGGAAACAGAAGCGCGTGGTGGCAGTCAGCAATTTGGCGATTCTGCTGAATCGCCGCCCCTCTGTGAAACGAGCGTTTCGCGCCAAACCATCGACGACGATTCGGGATTTCGAGGGTCGTTTTCGAGGGATCTTGCATTTCGCCCCGAGACACAGCGGTTTCTTTTCGTTTATATCTCTCTTTTTTCCCTCTCCCTCTCTCTTTCTCTCCTTCTCCTTTTCTTTTTCATCTATACAACTTTACCACGCGTGGTGGAAATGGTTTCGTTAGAGTTTCGTTTCTTTTTTCGAAGGGGAGAGATTTTGCGAGTTATTTGAACGTGAAGGAAAAATAAAGATTGGTAGATTATTATTAAACGAGGGAAATAGAGAATGTTGTAAAAAAGGGGGTGTTTTAAAAAAGTTTCTAGAAACATTTTTTTTATAGTATTATTCTGAATTATACAATTTTGTGGAATTGTGAAAAGTAATTTGATTAGAATATTTTAGATCAAATATTTAGAAAATTTAAACTTACGAGTTACTATTATTAAATGATATCAAGCATTATTGTAAATTACTTGCTGTTGTTATTTTTTTGGAATTCTTTCTTTCCTTCTCAATATAATATATTTCAATAACCTAAAATTCAGTTTAGACTTTTCTTCTCTATCTCTTCAACTCTTCAACATCATCCTCCCTGTTTACTCTCTCATTGCAACAAGCAGCAACAGCGTTCGTTTAATAATGATTGGCCGAGGCTTGTCGTCGTCGGTTGAAATATTCGCGGTGTCGTTTTGATTTACAATCGTTAATTCAATCGCCGCATAAACAGTTATAGTTTCGTTTATTCGTCGCCGACGTGCAGGAAAATGGTCGTGGCCGCGACCTGAATATTTCAGCGGGCACGGGGATTTTAAACGGTCGCCATTACTATTCGTATTAGGGGCTATGAATTATTTAAGTTGGAATCACAGATTCGCGAGATGAACAGCATACTGTCAGGCTAAATTGCAAAATAAATCTGGACCGAGGGGAGGAGGGGAAGGGGTTAAATCGCTTTCCATTTAACCATCCCCTCCCTCCCTCTTCCTCATCGTTCTATGAATCAGACTCGTTACCGTATTTCATCCAACGGAATGGTGGAAATGGCGTAAGATCTCGTGACATTCCTCCATTGCCTATTAACGTGCATGATGCGTTCGTGCTGCATCATCACCGTATTGAAACTGTAACGGAGTTAAAAATGTAGAATTGACGTGATGGGGGATGGTGGATCCATTTCTTGTGGATCGTCCATTGAATGTTGTTTCGAGAAAAATAACGAATGGTGGAAGAGCAACATTGTATCTGTGGAATTAATTTAAAAATTTCAATTTGATATTTTTACTAAGTAGGTTTTTAATAAGAATATGTTTTACGAATTATTTGAGAATTGGATAAAGAAAGAATGGTAAGTTTAAATTAAAAAATTTGTAAAATTCGTATTCTTAAAGAATATTTTCATTCATTCAGAATGGAAATATTTTGATTTCACTTGTTAAACTCACTTGAGAATTGAATAACAATAGTGAATGTATATTAAAATGGTACTTAGAAGTTAAATTCGTGTTATAGAGTCTTTAATCCTAGGATTTTAGATTCCAGTCTCGTGAATTCCAGACTGTTAATCCTTAGAACGCTAAATTTCAAGATCTTAAAATATATAATCTTAAATTTGAGATTTCTAAATTCTGAGGAGCTATTACTTTTAGAGTCTCGAACTTTAAGAAATCAAATTCTTTTATTTCGAAATAATGAAAAGAATAGAATCTATTTTCTCTAAAAAAAAATTTGATCCTTGATGATACTCTTATAACGATAAAATTTTTATCTCTAGAGTTTTAAAAACATTCTAACGAAAATTTCAAAACTTAATCTCAGAATTGCAACTTAAGGCCTAAATCCCTAATAATCCTTTCACCCCGACACATCCTAACTGCTAATCCTCAAAATCCTATAATCTGAACTCTCACCTATAGCAAACTAGAAATCCTTCAAGATACTCTTAAACTAAGTTTTCTAATGGAGAAACAAATTTAAAAAAAAAAAAAATTGTTAATTTCGAAACACTCTGTACCATTCTCTATCTCCTTTAAAAAATCTTCAATTTTTGAAAAAGCTCAAATTCGATAGAGTTTTTGTTAACAATATTTCTCTCCTAACTACTTCTCTAAAGAAAAGAAATTTTCCGGATAAAGATTCCTTGGAAAAATCTTTAATTTCGAAGAATCTTGTACAAAACCACCACGAATCAAAATTTATAGAAAGAGGAAATTCTATTATAGAGAGAACAATTTTTCAGAATACAAAAAAAATTCTCTCTTATTTCTACCTGGAGGAAAAATTCTTCAATTTTGAAGTACCCTGTAGAAACAACCCTTAGCTCGAGCCAAGAGCGTTTGTTCGTTAGCGGCGAGTTTTCGTCCCTGACACGACGACTTACACACCGGGGGATACCTGGTGCTTTATAGCCGGCCTCTCTATAGCTGCGACCTTGTAATTTAAGGTTGAAGGTAGGCCGTGGAACCGCTCGATAAAACACCACCAGTGATAGAAGTCTCACGAACTAGTAGGGATTGCAGAGGAATCGATCTGACCACCCACCTTGATTTACGCGACCCAGTCGATTTCTCTGCTCTCGACTTCTTTTTCCCTTCTTTTTCCTCCCCCGTGTCTTACACCTTCTTTCTTTCTTTTTTTCTTTTTTTCTTTCTTTCTTTTACGATCCAACGATCCTCGGTTGGAAAATTTATGTATCGATTATCTTCACGATTTTCATTGTCGCAGAGATTCGATGGATGTCTCAGATCCGAATCAGGTGGGATCCATTTATCCCCGACTGTCCGTTTCCGGATTATTCCTCTCTCGTTCATTGCCCTCGTGTTTCAGGTATGTTTTCTATGATCGCGGGTTATCGTTGGATATTAATCGTCTCGTGGGTTTGACGGTTGATTTGTGATTGGATTTATCGTCTTTTTTTTTTTGTTTTTTGTTTTTCGGGGGATGGGAGATATATATGGGGTGTATAAATCGATTTAATTTTCTGTTGCGTAAAAAGGTGGAAATGTTTCGTCGTGAATACAATTCGGGTTTTGCATAATTTGCATCATCGATTGTGCGATGATGAATGAATTAAATTGGCAAGCATTGTTACTTTTTTTATTTTTATCGTTAACTACAAAAGAGAGAGAGAGATGTTAAATCGAAGATAAAAATTGTGCCAGGATAAATAAAACCAAGATTATCGATTATCCTTTCAATAAATTGTATAGATTATTTAAAAAATATATATATATATTCATTTTATGAAAAAGTTGTACATCGATAGAAATTTTTCACGTATAAATTTATTATTTCATTCTTGCAATAATCTTATTATTTAAGAATAAGATAAAAAATAGAATAGTAAAATAAATGAAAGATATGTTAAATATTATCACCCTATATTTTATTCAAAATTATTACAATTACGCATATATTATTTACATCAAAGAGATGTAATATATTCATCAATTCCCTTGAGATATTTACCAACTTACCTCGATTCAAACCCGACGTACTCTTTTCACACTTCAGGGGCCATTCCTATTCGACTCCAACATCCCTCCCCCCATCTTCCCTTTCAATCTTCCGTTGGAAACGGTCACGCTCCTCGCGAAGGAAGACGATTTCAATCCTGAGGGCAACACAATAACTGCATTTCCCCCTTTTTTCACGTCCCGTGAACCTGATCCCGCGCGGACCCTTTGTTGCCAGGGGAAAAAACAAACTGAACGCAACCCTCCCTCCGTTGATCCCGTATTTACTCCATTTCCGCCCTTCCGTCCAAATAGAGAAGCAGCCGGTGTCGGGTTCTTCTCGTCGTTGAAATCGATGATCTGCATATCACGTGGAACGGCTCGTAATTTCCTGAGATCCCTTTTCCATCGAATTTATTAATCCTTTTGAACGAAATCCTTTGTTCGATCCTTTATTTTTATCGAATTTATCGAATCTTTTTCGATCGTTCGGTGATTATTAATTATTAGGAAATAGAGTAAATTAGATGAATTAGATTAATTAATATAACTTCATTAAGAGATATTATATCGATTGGAAAAGAAAAATGTGGAGAAAGAATGTCGAATTTTACGATGAATGTGAACTTTTGTCCCAGCTTGTAGAAGCTCGCCCCCTCGTTGACAAGGAAACCACCCTCGATGTCATCGTTCGCGATTGAATGCAGAAATATCGTCGATAAATCGCAGCCTTCTTCGGGTTGCGCGCGTGCTACGCGATGAATAAAATCACTTACGAGGGGGCCATGGTAGCCGGGAGGGTTAAAAGAGAACTTCCCCTCTCGTTCGTGACAT